GTTCCAGTTGCTAGGGTGTCTCTTTAAATTTCAGCCATTCTAGAAGCACTAGTTGTTGTTTTTTAACCCGTGGAGCCCATTGATGGTTTCCTAGCCTCTCTGGGCTCGAGGCGGGCTCACAGAGATGGAGAGAGGAGAGGAAGGGTGTCACTTGGCCAGCAGCCTTCTAGCTGGCCTCAAGGGCTCTGGACGCAGCAGATACTGAAAGCCGCCCCTGTCTGCCTTGGGACGCTGTTGTGGACTCATGGGGATGGCCATGGCTTCAAGTCCTTCTCACCTTTGACCTCAATGGATGCACCCTTCTTCCTGGGGGTCCCTTGCAATTTCTTCTCCAATCTTTGGGAATCTGACATCCAACTCCAGCTTCTTGCTGCTGCCCCTCTGCCCCTCTAGGAGGCCCCACAGAATGAGGCCCCAGTTGGCTCCCGTAGCTGCTTCCTGCCCACGCTGGTCTATGGAAAGCATTCAAGCAGCCTTTCCCGGGGGCACCTGGAGGGTGGGCTGACCTCAGCAGACCCGCTCTCTGGCTCCTGCATCCACATAGCCAGGCATCCTGTTTCTCCCCACCTCTCGCTGCTCCTGCCCCATCACACCATTGGGCCCTCATGGAGGGGTCACATGGTAAACTCTCCAAATAGTCACCACCACCCAGAGGAGACCCCGTCATGCCCGAGAAGATGATTACCAAAGGATTCCTTGCCCCTTCTTCCCATCACAGAACAGCTGTGGGCAAATGTAAGGCGTGATAATACATCAGGGACGCGGGCCACATTTTAGCAGTTGTGGGCTGTCACTGGGCTCGTGAAAAGTGGTCACTGGCTGTCACAGCAGAAGTTTCGAGTAGCATTGTGCAAGTTGCACCCACCTCCTGGGCCTCCGTTCCGCATATCTTCATGGAGGTGACCGTACTACCCGGCCAGGCTGTCGCGAAGGCTGAGTGACACAGTGACTCAGCAGAGCATTGCCGATGGAAGGCTGTGATTCCACAATGACAGACCTGGAGTTCCATCTCTGTGTGTCTGTTTACAAGTGCTTTTGCCTCGCTGGGCCTCAGTTTTCTCACCTCTCCAATGGTCCTCACAGGAGCCCCTCCGCGATAGCCTGTCTGTGAGGCTGGCTGGGTGAATATACACAAAGTGCTTAGCAAGGTGCCTGGCATTTGGCAAGAAGTTGATCCTGTTGGATGTTAATATACAACGGAGTGTGGGCTGAGTGGGCTCTTAAGCTGGTACCTGTGAGGTAGAGGGTTGGAGTCCCCACCTCTCCTGTCCCCTGCTGTTCCCAGCCTTGTTTTGAAATGCATCAGCCGGGCTGGGGTGTAGAGCCCCCAGGGACAGAGACGATGGACGGTATCTCCAAGCTGTGATGCTGAGTCATGTTAGAAAATCAATGTGTGACCAGAAAAGCACGGCTTGGCCCCCACCTCTTCTGGGAAATCCATGCAGCTGGCCCCGGGCACATGGAAAGTGGACAGCTCTATTCTAGGCCCTGACTTTAAGGCTTCTGAACAAAAGCCTGGCACACAGGAGTCCCTGGCTCCTCGAGGCACACCAAGCCCCTGGATCACAAGCTTCACACGACCCTCCAACCGGGGTCAGGCATGTCTGGCACTTGCCAAGCTCTCGACTTCTCCCAGCCCTCGTCTGGACACTTCTCAAGCCAAGTCAGGCTCCGGACCACTGATTGGGCAACCCATGACCTCAGGCTGGGTCAGACCCATCAGCGGGCCATCTGTTTAAGAGTAGGAACATTTTGTTCTTCAGAATCTGATGGGCCAAAGAGTATGAACCGTCCCCACCACAACTCAAACCCCCAGCGCTTCCATTTGTTAACCTTGTAACCGGGCAAGCTCTTCATCTCTCTGAGTTCCAGTTTTCTCATCTATCCAACGCAGACTAACAAGTACCTCCATGATCCGGCTGTGGCGTGTTAAGAGGTGGCACACACATTGGCAGACACTCCATAGGGGTAGTTATTATTTGTACAACACACACACACACACACACACACACACACACACACACACAGGATGAGAGTATGGGCCAGGGGGCCAGACTGCCTAGGTTTAAAATCTGACTGCTCTACCACTTTCTGTGTGGCCACAGATAACCTCCTTGTGCCTCAATTTTTTTCTCTGTAAAATGGGAATAAAAAGAACAAGGTTGTGAAAATTCAGTTAGACGACATGCACCGGGAACAGTCCTGGCACATAACAATCACTTAATAAGCATCAACTATTTTTAATTAGTCACACAAGGGAGTGAAATCACACAGGTAAGGGTTTTCCACATTATTAACAGGGAAGGGGAGTCATATTTAGTGAGTGCCTGTTATGTACCTAGTACTCCCAGAAGCTATACATACATATACTAGTATGTATATGTACACACACACAAACACACACAGAGTGGAATATTTCTGTTTTCATTTTTAAAAACCTTTATATTGTAAAACAAACCACAGGTGCAGAAAATCATACAAATTAAATTTGTAGCTCAGGGAGTCATTTCAAGACATGCACCTTTGTCATCACCACCCAGGTCAAGAAATAGAATTTTGCCAGCCCCCCATGAGTCCCTCCATGTCCCAGTCACAGCCCTTCCCCTGAAAGGAACGACCACCCTGACTTTTATGGCAATTATTTCCTTGCATTCTCTGTGGTTGAATCATCTGAGTGTGCACCCCTAGACATCCAAGCTTATTTTGCCCATTAAAAAAAACTCAATATGTCTCTTATGTCTCTTTCAATGCACAGGTTCCTCCCTCTATCTCTTTCTTTTCCTTGCAGTTTATCTGTTGAAGAACTCAGGCTGCTTGGTCTGTATAGTTTCTCAAAGTCTGGATTTTGTCAATTGCATCCTCATTGTATAGTTCAGCTTGGCCCTTTGACATCTGCAGTTCCTGTAAATTAGCAGCTGGATCAGACCCAGGTTTCATTCCTTTGGCATGATAGCAGGTGGTTCTGGGTTCCTTCATCAAGAATCATGTACATGGCTGGACTCTCTCTCTCTCTCTCGCTAGGTACATGATTTTATAGTAGGCTGCAAAATGGCAATCATTTTGTTTTCACTTATTAACTGTAATAATTTTTGTAATCCTTAACTGATGGCATGTTTTTATTGTTGTTGTTGTTTTTGTTTTTTTGTGTGTGTTTTTTTAGAGAGAGGGGAAGGGAGGGAGGAAGAGAGAGAGAAACATTGATGTAAAAGAAAAACATTGATTGGTTGCCTTCTGTATGCGCCCTGATTGGGAATGGAACCTGCAACCTAGGAATGTGCCCCGACCAGGAATCAAAACTTTTGGTGTATGTGACGACACTCCAACCAACTGAGACACCCAGCCAAGGCAGTTAGCTATAATAATTTTACAAGAAGTTGTTTTTCTTAACCTATTATTTGGTTACCCAGTGGTATAATTAATATATAAAAAGTGGAATACTTGCCCAGCCGGTGTGGCTTAGTGGTTGAACATTGACCTATGAATCAGAAGGTCACGGTTCAATTCTGGTCAGGGTACATGCCCAGGTTGCAGGCTTGATCCCATGTGGAGGGCGTGTCTCTCCCTCTCCCTTCCTCTCTCTGAAATCAATGAAGGCATTTTTTAAAAAAAATAAAGTAATTGATTCTTTCCTTTTATTTACCTAGTTTTTAAGAATATAATTTGTTTCTATGCCATCCTCAGAAGGTGATCAATTAGTATTTTTGCTGAATATTAACTCTTTTTTTGCTGGTTTTATGAACTCAGGGATTGAAACATATTTGATGAGTTTCAATCAATTGCAATGATCTTTGTTGCAGCTGAAATGATCTCATCTTCAGGTTGGTTTCCAAGTCCTTTTGATGTGACCCCTAGTGCCTTTGATAGCTTCTTTGTTATCAAGTATGACAAGACATTCCAGGCTCCTCTTGTACACAGCATCTGTAATCAGCAGTTTCTCTGAGCGGTCCCTTTATGTTTTTAAATAGAAAATAGCATTTCAAGACTAAAATCTGAGTGTTAGATATGCTCTTTGCTACTAGATTAGTCATTGTTTCTAGGTCTTTCTAGGTATGTTATATATACAGAATATATATGTTAATGTATACATGTGTGTATATGTATGATGTATTCATACATACTAGTATACATTTCTTTCCAAAAATAAAACATCTCTTGAATTCATACTGATATTTCCAATGAAAATACAGCATTTGGGGGCTTTTAATTAACTTCTTCTGTATTACATCTGCAGCTTCTTTCTTTTACACAGGAGATAAAATTGAAAGATTCTGTAATTGCTGATTTTCACACAATCTAGCATCTCCCTGGCCCTCTTGCCCCTGGGTTGGGGAAAGGAAAGAATGAGGTCATCTCTTGGGCACTCCTTTGGGTTTTGAGTCCTCCGGACTACAGCAGGTCTCTCTCCAGAAACGGTTTAGCACCTTTACTCTGCCTGATAGAGGGACCTAGATTTCTCTCAAAGTCGTAGCTATGTTGGTGGGCCTGGGGATTTTAATGGACAGGAGGTGAGGCCTAGTAGAACCTTATTCAATTTACCACTCTCACAAAGGGGACTTCATGAACCCCAAAGCAGAAAAGAATCCTGGAATGCTAATCCCAAAATCTAGGTTTAAAGCCATTTACTCCATTGATTGCCAGTTTCCCTTTCATGAAAGTTTCCATAAATATGAGGATTTAATGAGACAATAAACGTAACACACCAGGCGCACGGTAGCTATGTTCTCGGAAAACGGCAGCTTCTTCCTTCCTTCGCTGGGCTTCAGTTTCCCCAGCTCTCCCACCTAACCTTGCTGGCATTCTCCCTCCTCCCAGCCAGCCTCCCCCTGGCTCCTGTCCCACCGCGCGGATTCCGGCCGCCAGGTGGAGCCAAAGACCACCCCGCGGCCAGACATGCACATGCGCACTGACGGCGCTGCCTGTCTTCGCACGCCCTGGCGCGTCACTTCCGGCGCGAGGGGCGGGGCCGGGCCGGCCGGGAG